GCATTAAGTTCACCAGTACCCATTTATACACCTGGGTGGAGAGGGGCTCTGTGAGAGTAAAGTGTCTTGCCCGAGAACACAACACAATGTCCCCGGCCAAGACCGCTCGATCCAGAGTTGAGTAAACTAACCATGAGGCCACCGCGCCTCCACGAAAGGGACATTGGTTTATTTCCCTCTGGCTACTTACTGCTTTTGTGACCTCCACTAAGGTACACCTCCCACAAAGGGACATAAATTTTTGGGCCTCTAGTCACACACAAACACTATATTTGTGCCCTCCAGTGCGTGCTGACCTCCTCAAAAGGGACATTGTTTTATTTTCCTCTGGCCGGATGTACTTCTTTTGTGACCTCCACTGGGAGACATCTTCCACAAAGGGAAATTAATTTTTGACCCTTTGTCCACACTCAAATTCTACGCTTGTGATCAGTACTCTTGTCAAAAGTGCCTCATATTGGGAGATTCAAGTGTGATATTCTTGCACCACTTGTTGTAGATATCAAGAAGTTCAAGTGTGAAGACTGTGGCAGATTCTTCCGCCGGCTTCATCAACTGAATGTACATCAAAGGATCCATTCTGGTGAAAAGCCTTATGTCTGCAACAGGTGTGGTCTTTTATGCTATTTTAATTAATATTTGCAATTTAATTAACAATCACACGCTTGCCAAAAGATATCTAATCGACTTCCAGTGAGTTGATAACGTGCTGCCAAATAACACTATCATGATCGTAGGGTCACAAACTACTGCAACAGTGGAGCATTGAAATGGATATTTTTAAAAAAATCCTTTCTAACAATAACATGTAAAGTTCTTTAGTGTGAACACTGAGGTGTATGTCCTCTACAGTAACCCCCAGTTATTACGGCATACTCGAATTTTCAAATCTACTTATAAACTAGAGTGAACTTATAAACTCCATGTCTGGAGAGAACAATAAGGGCACCAAAAATCCATAGCAAGTAAACCTACTTTGTAACACTCGTGCTTGTTTTGTTCTCAACGCAATCTTTGCGCGCCAAAAATGCGGGAGAGCTTGTTATGCAGGACATGCGGGCTATGGAACAAGATGAGAACAAACCGTTAACTCAAATCGTGAGTGCTAGATTTTAACCCGAATCACTGTTATGAGAGGAACTTCCCTAAACAACCTTCCATGGTGGTACTGAAATTCATCTGCAAACTTGCAGATCACATTTATTTTGTTTTGTGTTTTTGCGTTGTTTTTTTAACAACAGAACACCGAACAATCTAGCTGATTGTTGTCTGGGCGAAATACAGTTGTAGTCTTGTGAGGTGCTGTTTTCGAATTTCTTTAATGCCGTCACTTTGCGGTTTTCTCAAATTTACCGCTTAGACATGGAGTGAATATGTTTCTAATAGAGGAAAAATGCGATAGCCACTTAATTGAATTACTTCAGTGACCCGGCAGTTATCGGGCGCGAAAACCTGCAGACATCTCAAGGGTCTCATGCGCTCTTGTCCCACCCATAGAGCCCTTCTGTCTCGATACATGTCTCATTCTGGATAAGTTCAATTAACTTTATGTGTAATCGGGCGAAAAGTCTTTCAACTTAATGCTTGAAAGCAGGGGCGTCCGTATTTCCTTTCGCAATTTTTTGTTGTTTATGACCGGAAACACTCAAATGTCTTAAATGTCTTAAATGTGGCTGACTTGCATGCAAACACTGGTAAACAGTTTTATCTTTGTTAAAGATTCTTTGTTTAAAAAGATAACTTCAAACGTTGCTCTTTATCTCGTCGCTTTGGCGTAGGTTTTTAATAAAGGGATATTCCACAGGCTTATCTTATCGACAGCCTTGAAAATATCGTCGTACATCGCGTGCCCAGGGAATTTCAACTTCTAATCCGGTGTTCAGTTGATACGTACGTGAAATAATTCTTGATTTACGACCCGGGAGTCCGGTATGATTTAAAATGTAATTTGGCCAACCATCAGTCTTCTGTAATGATAATCGGGGATAATACTTTAAGTGTGAAAACCGCGACTTGCAAAAATTTCCGGTAGTGTTTTTTTTCTTGTGATACAACTTTGTCTATCGAACTTTGACAAAAACCAAACGAGAATGTACATGTATAAACCCTTTCATTCCTGACAGTGACAAAATGTTTTTATTTATGTATTTGTTTATTTATTTTTAAAACTCTAGATCTCGTTTTGTAAGATTTGAGGGAAAAAAAGAAACATGTAAAAGCAGCGCTCGACAGCTTTTATTTGAATGGTTACACACCAGGGTTTCATTCACTGACTCAAAAGTTAGAACAACACCTTGAACAGCATAATAAACAGTAAATGCACATGATTCACCCTAAGGCTTCACACAGGGTTAAAATTTAGAGCTACGCGGTATAGACTTGGCGGAACAAGTTAAAGATGTGAAAAGCACTGCGCATCTATTCCATTCTAAGAGATTGTTACCATTTTCATCGACCGTCTGTTACGAGAACCCGGAGATACTTATAGGGCGCGTTCCTTTGGGGTGATCTGGATCAGGATCAGTGATCCAAGATCACTCGGATCATGGGGCATCAAAGGAGCCGATGAATCCGTAACCAGAGCGGATTCACCGGTTGCTTTGATGCACCATGATCCGAGTGATCTTGGATCACTGATCCTGATCCAGATCACCCCAAAGAAACGCACCCTTAGTTCTTCGCAATGGAGAGAGTCCTGTCAACGGCCTCTCCTTTTCTCAAGCTCGGGGAATGGAAATGAAGGAGGATGGAAAGCTAAAGATCCTGGGTACGAGTTTCTGATTGGTTGTTACAGGCTTTTAAATTTTCGACATAATTGATGACACTTTGTTGATCAAAGTCAAAGTCTGGGGAGCAGTGATGGCGCAGTGGTGAGAGCGCTCGCCTCTCACCAATTGACCCGGGTTCGATTCCGGCCCGGTGGGCTGAGCTCGTTGTTGCATCTCGCCTTGTTCTGAGGATTTTTCTCCAGGTTATCCGGTTTTCCTCCCTCCGCAAAAACCAACACTGTAATGATAGAGGACTCGCATGAAAACCAGCTAAGGCTTATGTGGCTTCCTCTCTAAATATTGTAAATTTATCAAGATAGAGATGTTTACTCTGGCTATTACCATATGAAAAAGACGGGTGTGCTCCTCGTAGTCTTTAGGGGTTAAAAAAAACGGTTTTGGTACCTCTTACTGTTGGGGTGCTCAGCCTCAAACAGTCCACAGCAAGAGCTTTCTCGGTACCTTATAGGGTATTGAGCCGAAGAAATGTGTCAGGAGATATTTGACAATCAACTTATTGCTAATTTTGTCTCATTCACCATCGTCTTTAAACAAATTGCTGTTAAATATTATGAAAGTGTCAGTTAATGTGTTGTTTTAGTATTAGTACATGTTATGAGGTGAAAAAATTTCAAGCCACGCCCATAAAACACGATCCTGGTACCTCTGATGGGTTCTTCTCAAACTTCCGACGAGCACCCCCGTCCTTTTTATATCGGAGCTCCCCCCTCCCCCTCGGGGGAGGCTATTACCTACGATGTTTGTTCACCAGTGTTTTTTTTTTTCTTTTTTACTTGTCTAGGTGTGGCATGGCGTTCCGGCACGACTCCACAGTCACCATGCATATCAGGACTCGCCATGATCACCTGCGGCCGTTCAAGTGTGATGAGTGCGGCAGTCTGTTTGGACGACTCTCTCACCTTAAGAAACACATCCGTAAAGTGTGCGGTGACAACAAGAACAAAGAAAAGCCCATTGCACAGTGTCGCTTCTGCGACGTGACCTTCCCGACCAAGGGAGACCTGCGCAAACACTTGCTGAACTGCGAGAAGAAAGGTAGGGATCACTCTGCTTTAAAGAATTAATTGTTTCTCTTGTATTTCTCAAACTAGTTAATAATTCATCGCGTTTAATAAAAGAAAATCATGACAATGATAATGTTTGAAAATCTGATCTTTATTAGCGTAGATTTTTACGATTATATTTCTCCGTTTTCTCCTTAGATTCAGATTCGTTTGAGAACATATATCAAACACTCAGTATTTGATAGTATTTCTAAACACCTCGAAGATCAACAAAAATACTGCGCTACGCGTCGTACTTTCCACTCTTTTCTTGGTGTTGGAAATCTGGTCAAACACGATCTTTCGTGTTTGATATATTACGTGATGATAAATCGCGCTGTTGATTTGTGCAGAGTATATTTGAGACCTGTGTCGCAATTGAAAATCATTTGAGTCGTGGACTTTCAGAGATGGTTTACTCCTGCTAAATGTTCACACAGCTTTCTTGCTGTTGGAGTAAATAAATCAATAAAGTAATTGTGATGACTATTTACTCTTTCCTCGTAATTCGCTTTTTATGTTTCCAGGGATATTCACGTAACATTGATGTTGTGTAGCATTGACATGTAACATTGATTGACGAAGTTTTTCGCATTTTCCTGCACAGCTAATGGACGTGTAAAAAGTCAAAGAATTCGTAGCTTTATCTTAATAGCTTTTGTTGTTATTTGCTCCTTAGAGGCCAAAGTGAAAGCTAAAGAAGTCACTCTGCACATCTGTGAAACCTGCAACAAGGAGTTTGCCAGCCCTTACAACCTTCGCCGGCACCAACTGACGCACACAGACGAGAAACCTTACCAGTGTGACGTCTGCAACAGGCAGTTCAAAGAGAAATCCTCGCTCACCAAGCACATCAAACGCAAACACACCGGAGTGGACCAAGGCAGTCAGACTGACGAGACTGGAGAGCAGGAAGACGGCTACGTCAACGTTGACGTCATAGCCGAGTCTGCAGCAGCCAGCGGTGTTACCATGGAAACAGAGGAGACCGTGGAGGCGGGTATTGCGGCTGAAAGCGTCGAAGGGACCTCAACCGTTGATGCCAGTTCGTTGATATCGGGAGAAGACGCCCAGGGCGGTGGACAGCAAGTGACGGAGGTGGTGCAGGCGAGCGGCGAGGTAGAGATGGCGACGGTGGAGCTCAGCCTTGCCAATGCTGCCGCGGGTTCAGCTCATTCCCACGACTCCGCTCTGCAGGCCGCTGTGGAAGCCCTGGTCTCCGCCAGCCAGCATCAGATGGGGGTTACCCAGGAAGCCATGGAGGAGGACTCTTCCTCGGGCAAGGAGATCTTCGAGGGCGTCACTTCCCAGGATGCCGAGGGTGCTGCGGCGCTAATGGCGGTCTATGTACCGGAAGTGAAGCAGGCGGAAGTCAATTTGGAGCTGGTAAACGTGGATGGGTCCAAGGTGGAGTTCGTGGAGGCCACCGAAGAAGGAGATCAGGAGATGGTCGATGAAGAAGTTGACGAAGAGGAAAGTTAACTGTCCGAACAGAACTCTTTAGTGTTATCTTCCTATAGCGAGATTACACGCGTGTGAAGTATTCTTGAGTTAATATCAGGACTTGTAAAATGTAAATTTAGTTGATGAACATCGAAATGGCGTCCTTTTCCACAAGGCTTTTGACCACAGCCGTGAAACCAAACCAGTGTCACCTTTCGATGAACATCCCAGTTAAGCCTCAGTCATGCAGTAATCAACCATACGTAGCGTTAGATAAGTAGTGTTATTTTATAGTGTGAAGACCATCTTTTACTTGTAGATTTTATACTTAGTTTACTTAATCCTGCGTCCAGCGGGACATAAGTCAACTAACTGTAGATTGTATTCTTGCATATATCTAAACAGTGAAACGTGAGTGGACATTATCAATAACCCCTCCCNCCCCCCCCCCTGGATTAGTAATTAATCTCGTGATTTGTTTTAAGTTGTTTTTTTGGACTAACCTCGTCGGAAGTTGACAGGGAGCCCAAAGCGAGCGTTTAGATCTTGTTACAAACGTAGTGTTAAATCACTGTGCGGACTGGAAACCAAAGAGTTGTGGTTTGACTTTGTAGAGTAAAACTCAAAAAATGACAGGAACCATTTAGGAAGCGGGGATGAGAAATGATAACGAGCATGAAAATGGAATAAGCTTAGAAGAACGTTGAGGCTTACATGTTAAAGGAGCTACGTCATGGTTTGCACATCTAGAAGAGTCCTTCGTTTGTTATCCGTGTTAATCTTCTCCATCCCTAGCCATCCTTGTTCCTTTGTGGTTTATTATTATCTCTTTGGTCTTTTTCTATCTTAGAGGTATTTCAGTACGTGGCCAAAATAACCCAAACTACCATGACTGAACTCATTTAAGATTTGGTGCAGATTCCTGCGAACATTCTATAAATAACCTGTTGGAAGATATTTTCAACATTAAGCTCTAGTTTAGAAAATTTTTAGTTCAGAGAACATTTGTGCCTTCATTTGAGTGTTAGCAGAGCAAATTCTACTAATCGGAGTCAAACGTAGATGAAAGAAGTTAAGAACGGACACAGCATTACATGACATTTAAAAATTATATTTCTTGGCGTATGAAACGTTAACTGATATTTTTTATTTCAGTTGGAAATTGTGTGTAAGTAGACCAATGTAATGATCTGTTGTACGTTATAGATTATTTTATTCGGTCATTGTGTATCATTTATCAACAACTTGTTGCATTAAGTAATAGTAAAGTTTGAAGTAGATTTAACTGTGTTTAAAATAAACTGAGACCGGGAAAATACGACTTAGTGAAAGAAACGATTGGGCTTGAAAGGGGAGTATTTTACCAGGTTTGGGTGGAGAAGTCAGGGGTCAGTTTTTTTTAGGGGGAGGGGCGCGTGGATAACGTCCCATCGACTTGCCCTTATCATCTTGCAATGTTCAACACATTCTCATTATGGACGTCAAGATTGATTAGGATAGAGACCTTACATAAAACAATACGTCAACGGCAACGAGAAAATCGCCAAACAAAAGGTTTAATGAGCACAACAGTGGTTCTGCACGTGCGTTTTGAATCTTGGTACATTTCTTACCCGTCATCTGCAACACAAGGACGTGAAATGACCAGCCATTTTTCACAAGGTGGCGTCCTTGGCGTCGCCGTCGTTATTGCTAAAACTCCCTAACAACGCAAAATGACGAATGTCCAATATTTTGGAGAATGTGAATCACTGAGGCCCCGTACACACCACGCCGGAGAAATTTGAAAACGGAGGATTCACCCTGAAAACGCATCAAATGTTTTCCGCCCACACTACGCCGGAGGAATTTAAAACGCTACAGTCACCGGTCATTTTGGATGTATGTTTGAAGAAAACTCAGGCAGGAAAATTGCATGATTATCGTGAAGTCACTGTTTTCAAAATGTTTTCTGTCCACACGATTGTTGCGTTTTCAAATTTCTCCGGCGTAGTGTGGACGGAAAACATTTGATGCGTTTTCAGAGTGAAAACGCCGTTTTCAAATTTCTCCGGCATAGTGTGGACGGGACGGAAGGCATTTGTAGCGTATTTTTATACCGACAGACACACGGAACTGCGAAATTTCAAAGTAAAATATAAATGCATTTTCTAATAGGCGTCACCTCTCGCTGTCGCAGTCGTATACGAGTAACGTTCATAAACTTATCAACGCAATCAAAGCCCACCAATCAAGAACATAGGCAAGTCATAACATAGCACATGGAAGGTACTGAATAAACACTACTTGAACATGTTTTAGTCTGATTCTTTCGCCTTTCACCTCGGATAATGCATTTCTAGCTTTTTACTGATTGGTTTTCTGGATCTCGGTAATCAACCATTATGCCTATGTTCGACTGTTATGATCTGTTATGTGGGCGTGAGTTCGGCATTTCAAGGGTCGCTAAACTTATAAAAATGTTTCGGCCGAAAGCAAAGGAGCTGATAAAATTTTCTCCTGCAGAGAAGCAGTAACTACAAAAGAATGCCGCAATTAACTCAACTAATAAGTAAAGCCTAATACGAAAAATTTAATTGAGAAGGGTTTGCAACAAAGCTTGCAACAAAAGCGACTGAATGAAGAAGAAAAGCAGTAAACAATTTCCCGTAGAAGATGCAAAAACCGACACAATTTCGTTCAGAAAGTAAAAACGGCGTAAAATTATGTGTAGCATTTCAATAAAGTTTGTTACTTTTCCTTGTTTGGACCTTTTATACCTCAGAGAATTTGATCGACGCGCAACACACTGGCAACACAATGTAGTGCTTGATGAACACTGGAGTCCTCGTTATTGACAGTAAACTCTTGCTTCCTTTGACTTCCACAAGGCGTATGAGGTTTAGCAGCTCTATTTCTTCGGATCTTCCATCGAACTTTTATCATCTTTCACAATTTCCCAGAATAAAGACGGCTTTAGAGGAGATTCTGCGAGGAATATTTCGCAAGTAAACTCCATCTCGCTGTTTCATTCAATTCAAAAAGTGAACACGCGCCAAAAATTTTCCCGCCTTTTCATATCATGACTTCGTTTAGATCAAACTGAAATGACCTCATCATCCACTGTGCTCCCATAACGATTGCCACATACCTTCTAATGAGGACCCCCTGAGGACCGCGATTCGGAAAATCTTTAATCCGTAAACGAGATCACAAAAGACTAAGAGATGTTTCAAATGCATTGCGATAAGCGAAGATAAACAAAAAGCGAAGGATACTCTTTTGATATTTATCAACTGAAGTGGAATATAAATATTATAAATATCAAATAAGGGACCATTTTGATTTTTCAATTGGGTGCCATAAAGCCAAAACCAAAGCACCAGACATCACCCAGGCCTCAGACAATCATGGACACCCGTGGACTCAGGCAATCCAGTGAACCAATCAAAACCTGAAGCAAATACGCGTAGCTGACACGAAGCACGGGAAGACGTGAGGGAATTAGTCACGATTGGCTTTGGTTTTACTTCTGATTAGATGAAAAAGGGGCGCGAGATTTGTAAGCTAATCTCTGAACATAGTAATGCTTAATCAAATGCGAACATCGACATGCAGCCAAGTGAAAGCTGGCATGATTTATTTTTTCTGGCTTTTTTAAACTATAAGAAGAGTTAGATACCAGACAAGGTCTAACAAGAGTGAGAAATAGAAAGAACGCCGATTTACAAAGGAGCAGAAACAAACTTTGAAAAGAATCCATACTTCCATTGGCTAATCAGGGCAAAAATAACGTATCGTAGATATATCGATAGATATTGCGTGAGAGTGGTTTCCCTTTAAGGTTAATTAGATTTCCGACCAGATTATCCCAGACAGTTGTTCTCACCGCAGATTAGATTAACAGGATCAGTTGGTCTTTCTCGAGTAAAAAAGGGTTAAGTCTGCACACGAACCAAGTGACCCATCAGGCCGGCGCTTAT